TCAGAAGTCAAGGAAGACGGATTGGATCGGGGAACTTTACTGACGTGTAAGAGCGTACAAGAAGCTCTGCAAGCAGTTGCCGCAAGTTGTCTCTCCAGGCAAGTTCTTTCGTCTACGTTCGCCGTTGAGATTATTAGCCCCAACACGTGTGTACACCTTGATTCTGTCTCAGTTAGTGTTCGCCAACCATTCAGAGAGGGGGCAGCGTTAATTGGCTTCGAGATCTCGCGAGGCAAGTAACTGGCCTCATGCGGTTCCAGGAGCGAGTCGACAGGGCGCGTGAGGCGGAGAGAAGGGCAGATAGACAAAGCGGCTATGGAGGGAATGCCAGTAGTGTTTCGCGGCTCGGAAGACAGCAAGAAGCTTCCATCCAAATGTGCTATAGAGCGTCTCGACAAGTGATAACTTGCTGGAGCTGCTAAGGGTTGGGTGTGACCTGCAAGGTGCTGTTAGAGAACCGCGCCGACAGTGACATCAGGGGCGCCAATCATGAGGGAGATGAGAGCATCAGGAGCAAAATTCGCCAAGAGGGTGGTGTCGGCTAGGACAGCTCTCACCTTGTCAGAAACAGCAACAGGGTCTGCGGAAAGCACGAACGAACCTTCGGGGTCCGAGAGGGGGCTCGTAAGTGGTAGAATGGTGCCGACATAGTTTTAGATGAAACGGCGATAGAAGTTCACCATGCCCAGAAACCGCTGCAGCCGACGCTTGTAAGAGGCAGATAAAAAAATAATGTATGGCCGTAACCTTCGGTAGGAGATGATAGATGCTGTTGAAGTCAACAAGTTATCCGAGGGATTCAAGAGAGGACACACCGAAGACGCATTTGAATGGGTCGATAACAACGCTAAATTGTTGGAGACATTCAAACACCGTTGCAAGATGCTCCATGTATTCTTCGTCGGTGTAATTGGCTACTAAAGGGTCGTCAATATAGGCGTAAACGGTAGTCTGCGAAGCACTCTGTTTGCGAACCTCTGGAAGGTCTGGGAGGCGTTGAGGACTACAAACAGCATGCACAGGAAGTCAAAGAAGCCAAAGGAAGTGATGACGGCCGTCTTTGAAACGTCTTCCGGGACGATAGGAATGTGGTGGAAGGCACTGACCAGGTCGATCTTCGAGAACATAGATTTGCCGAATAGGGCATTGACAAAATTCCGAAGATGCGGAACATGGTGACTGTCCGTGATGGTTACCTTGTTCAAGGCCCTGTAGTCATCGCAGGGGCGCTAGTTACCAGTGGCGACCTTGTGAACTATGTGGAGCGGTGAGGCCCATGGGTTTTCAGACTGACAGATGACGTCTGTCTGAAGCGTATGCTCGAACTCGGCCTTGGTAACAGACAGTCGAGCGGGTGCGAGACGGTGAGGCCGAGAAAACACGGGAGGGTGAATGGTTCGTTTGTCGTGAAAAACGTTGTGTGATAGGATAGAAACGTTGGAATTAGGACAGGTGAGGCCAGGGCATTCGGCAGGAAGCCATCGAAATGGATGCTCGTGTTCAGGATCCAGGAGCGCGAGGTGACGGGAAGCGTCAGAAAAAGGGATATCCCGGACGGTGAGGCTGGTGTGCCTGTCGTGTGGACGGGACTGACGGCAACAAACCAGACGATCGTATACGGCAAAGAGGTCTGTACGGAGAATGGCAGGGGGGGGGATGTCAGCAAAGGCGAAGACCCAAGTGAAAAGACGCCGTAGGCCGGTGTCCAGAAAGTGTGAGCAGGCCTCGGAAGTGGTAATTGCTGAAGTTTTGACGGCCTGAAGGAAGAGACCAGGGTTGGGGGGCACCGACGGTCGGCTGCTGTGTAAGGGATGACACTCAGGTGTGCACCAGTGTCGACCAGGAAATGCCTGTAGGCTGCACCTTCTTGAAGCGAAGCCATATCTTCGGCAAGCTTCGCAAGCTCAGACTTTATGTGAGAGAGGGGAGACGCAGAAGAGATCGAAGAAGTTAAGAGACCGGAAAGCGATGGCTCGGAAAAACCGTGCATCGTCATGAGCCGTTCGGTTATCTGAGTAAGTTGTGCGGCCGAAAGAATGGCGGAAGCAAATGTCAACGTATACTGTACTTCCGGTGGAAAATTGCCCATGGTCAAAAACCTGACTATATCGTAGATTGGGAAGAAGGGAGAATGCCGTTTGCAAGGCGTCACGAATTGTCAAGTTGGGACCGGTCGACAACACAAAGGTTCCCAAAGCAGAAGTCAGGGATGAAGGATTGGGTTGGACAACTTTACTGGCGTTTAAGAGAGACCAAGCGGTTCTGCAATCAGTCTCCCCAGGCAGGTTTTGTGTTTGCCGAGGGTGAGACCCTGGTTACCACGACCTTCAGGGTCGATCCCGAATGGAAACAGAAGATTGACGACAGTTAGGAGGATTGCGTATTCCCTGCAGGAGAACTGGAGAAGGGACTGGAAGGAGCTGGAGGCCAGAGGAAAATGTCTCCGACGCCGGGAGTGGCACCTTAAGTGTTAGTCAGGGAATGCGTCGACGCGTCTTCAGCCACGGGTATGTCTGATTCGGCCTTGAATCCGATTGGCCAGTTGGAAAGGCGAGTGGGCGAACGCCAGACAGCCCTGGTGCGCACGTACAGACACTCCCGAGAGGTCCAGCGTTGTAACAGGCACTCGGAGTAAGGCCACTACCGATCGACCAGAAATCAGCATAAACTATCGGACCGACAATAAAGTGTGTAACACCCGCTGTGTGCAAGCCTTTATAGCGACTTCAGCGTCAGGTTGCATGACCTCATCTTAATCCACAGCTATGCGTTGAGCATAACAAACGAACTATTTCGCCCCAAGTGTTCCAAATTTGGACTAAATGTTGACAGGCAAAAATGATTGTCACGTACCAACCGGCATTATGTGTCGAGTACAACGAACTCACTGTTACTATTAATAATAATCCCCTGGCAACGGTAGAACATTTTGCTTGCTCGGGTAGCACCATATCACGCACCATCAAAATTGACGACGGGGCTGCGGTCCTAATCACTAATACTGGCGGGGCAATTAACAGACTATAGCATTCAGTCTGATATCACATTCGCATCCTCCCCGACATGAGAGCCAGCATGTGGAGGGTTACCATCTGCAAAGCACTAAGTTGCGATCTGGAGATATAAGCATAATAAAAAGCCAGGCGGGGGAGAAAAATTAGCGTAGCGCAAGCGTTCCCTAAATAATATTATCGGCAAAATAAGCGCCAATGGCCCCTGGACGTCCGTATTATGGATCCAACTGATATGCTGAGCATCAGTGTCATGTTGAAATAATTCTAACTGCAATATTGTGACTACGTCGTGAGGAGAGCTGACTAGTGTCCGTTTGAAAGACAACTCTGTGGGAGGCTTCTGTACCGGGGGGACATGCTGGGTGAGACTGACGACACGAGGACATTAAAAACTGTTTGAGGCACCGGGATGTCTGCCGAAGACCTGTAAAATCCCTGCTCAAGACCGGCAATCTTGGGGTACTGCCGTAAATGCTGGAACAGCCACATTCGGCACCAACCAAACAGCTGAGACCAAGGTTGTTTGCTGAAAAGTTAATACTAGAATGCTGCAATCCAGGACTGTCAACTCCTTACGCCTGCCTGCCCGGTCTGCACTTTCGACGCTGGCCTGAGTCGTTGGTTTTTGTCTCACACCATCAGATCCGGCCCGTTGCCAGTCCTGCCAACCGATGTTCCGATGTATGATAATCCGTCAGCAAAATCCTGACCGTCGACACCCCTCCCACATCTCTTTCTAACACTACATTCCACCCTTCATTCCCTCTCTTTCGTGTGCCTTTCTGCCCAGGGTGGGGGGGGGGGGAACACCTCCAGGCCACGGCCCTCAGCTGCAATCAATTAACACTCATTGCCAACTTGCACTCAATCCGTCTCCCCATCCCAGTCACAAATCATTTTGGTAAGACGTTTATACATCTTCCACAGCGTTACTGGAAAACCAGGGTCTTAGTTGGTTAATTGGTGTAAAGTAGAAGAATGAATTAGTAGTAACCTCCCTCATGCCGAATCAGTCCGTCCCCTACCCTAATAAATGCAACGTTTTAGGACCTACCGTAACGGACAACATTCCGTGACGGGGAAAGTGGGCATCTGAAGTGAGACCTAGGTACCCTTTTGAAGTGGGTCCAGACTACAGTGTCTCGTTATGATGGTCCCTATGATACCTCATACGTCAATGTATAGCGCGCGTATTCCAACTGCTTCACACCAGTCACTAGGCGCAAGTTCCTTCCCAGTCAGCTAGAGCCCCATGGACCACTGGAAAGGGGGTAAGGGACGGTGGATTGAGGTCAGATCTACTTTAGTCAGGCATTTATTCCTTCACTAAGTTGTAAAGCAAGCTTTAAAGTCATCACGATGCGCTAAAGCCCGTGTCTTTAAATGTAACCATCTGACAGCATGACAAGGCGCTTCTTTGTGACGACGGTCAGGCCACATTTATTTCTTCTTAGCCTCATCTTAATAGCACGTCTCACTTCTGTGAGTGGTGGGACCCCCTCCTCAAAATCTGGCATGTGCCAAGTTTCGGATCGACTGGCTTTCTTTGCCTGCCACCGCATTCACGCCCATCTCCAGTATTTTGGTAGTGTACGGCCTAGGGTGAGTAAAATGAGGTTAGTGGAGTACAAGTCTGTTTCACCATAAACTATTCACGAGCGAGTCATTGCTGTGTTCAGCTCGCCGAACACTGGTGGCTTTCGTCGTTTGCAAAAACAGATTTATCACTGAAAACGTGCTGTTAGACTTGAGATTATTTTTCAGTCCCCGGTGTACGGCAAAGGCCAAACGCATGCATTTTTATAGAATGTTGCAAAGATCCTAAGGAATCTTGAATGTGAATCAAGAAAGATTGTCTCCAAGTTACTGCATTAATTTCCGAGGAGATGAAGAGTCCGAAATTTCAGATCTAGATTGTCCACCAGAAGGCACACGGGAACGCTGCGGGGCCCACTGGTGGACCGAACCCCTGGCAGTTGCGTCTGGCAGCGTCACAAGATCGGCGAAACACGCATGTCTGGGCTTCTAGCTAGTGTCTGTGCTATCAGTATCACCAATCACTCATCATGTGTATATGACTGGCTGTCCGTTGACAGTTTGTAGATATTACTCGGTTATCCCTCGGAAGCTGATAGGTGTCGGCCTAGACATTCATATCAACTTCCGGACTGAGCTTACAAATCATCGTTCCGAATAATTTACTCCAAGTTAGCGCATTCATTTCTGAAACGATTAAAAACCTGAAATAGAGGACGCGTATGGCAACACTTCCGAAACCTAGTCAACGGAGTGTGATAGGAGGAGTTTCTCCTTATTGCTGGTGATTTAAAAGTTATCATGGAACATGCATGATTATTCGGAGGGAAGTGTCTGCTAATTGATGGTAATAACAACGAATAAATGTGTGCCAGGTCTAGTTTAAAGCATTTAACGGACGCGGAGAATCGTTAGATCGGACAGGAGGTAACTATGTTTAACATATGAGGACGGATACCAACGAAGTCCAGTGATCACTTCCTGATGCTTTACGGCGTCCGAATTCTGATCTAGAAGCATTTTGGGAGTGAACTGCCTCATATGTGAAGGCACATCCTAGACATAGCACAGCTAACTACCAATAAAATAACCAGAACCGATTAGGAAATTGCGGCAGCTAACGGCTCGGATCCGAACAAGCGTGCCATCATCGAACTAAGTGCGGCCATTTGTTCTGAATATTGGGTGCTGATAATTACGATGGTATGACATAGCCACCGGGCAACTTTACCCCGGCACTCTTATCTGTTGCTGCCCCCTACTGACGGGTTCGAGTGTGAATCTGATACGCCAGGTGAGTAAAATTGTTGCCCTACCGATCGCGCAGGGCAGGGAGTGCAGCAGACGAATGCCAGCGGAAATTAACCTCCACGATGAGGATGAAATCAGTCTCCCAAACGGACCGTGCCTTTGGTTCAGTGCTAAACCGGAGCAGACGTCAAATGGAGTTCTAAATGACGTCCGTCACTATTCCCGCTCTTACCATCTCCAGCCACCTTGAATCGGGTATGTTGTTCGTACACGGTGGAGTTAGGTCAATGTTGTAACAACTTCCTTCACGCGGATGCATTCCGTCGTTTCCTGATTACAATACATATGATGCTCTTTGATACCACCATGATACGCCTAAGTTTGTAGCTTGGAAAGCTGCCACTTGATGGTACACCTCGACCCTCAAAATGCTTCCTTCCTAATGCAACATTCATGGCCTCTTCATTGCAAACTCTTTTTTTAAATAGTGCTTCGTCTACGTAAAGGGACCAGGCCAAATGGCAAGCTCAGACGTGTGTGAGGCCGACAGTCAAGAGACGACGTCCACCTTGTGCCCCACGGGATGGGCGCAGCGTCGGCAACTTGCGCGTGAATTCGTTTATAGTGGGGCGGGCTTGTACAACACCTACCACACTCTCCTCCTTAATTTGCCTTGCTACGATGACATGAAAGTAACAAGACGACCGAAGATGGGCTCGGGTATAGCGAATGACAATGCTAAACAACGCTTCTGGGCGTGCCACGTGCGACATGGTCTCCGAAAAATGTACCTGGATTTCACAAAAGTGGTCTCAGACTCGTGCGAATCCCATAAAACGCATAGTAAGAAGGGGCCATTGAGTCACACTCTGGTCCCTCGAGCCAGCCGCCCCACATACACATACGGCACTGACCACGAGGACTGAGTTGTCCAGTCAGCTGGTGTCCTTCCGAGCCGCGACGTTTGACGCATCGTGGTAATTTCAGAATGCGTCAGCTTTGGTTCGAAATGACCAAGAGCGATGAGAAGTCGAGCGCATCCCCTGTTACTAGTTCCCATTTTGTCCTACCATTATGGGCTCGTTTGAACTATTGCCAATAGAAGCGAAGAGACGAGTCCCAGGAAGCAGTCTTGAAGAAGAAGACACGATCGCCGGGACAAGAGCTTTATTAGCCTGACGTTTCGGATTCCTGCTCGAATCCATAATCAGAGACATGAGCAGATAAGGATGGTTCATGCACATGCGGCTGCAGTATTTATAGGATGTAGTAGCCATGCTACCGCATACCTATGAATATTCACGGCTCCCTCCCCTTCATCAGGGATCGTTGCACGTGGCGTGATGGCCGACATTCGCGTCGTTAATTGCTGCAATTTCATCACGTGCGTTGGATGTTGGTGTGATGATTGCTCGACCATCTGACGCGCTGACCCGGGTTTTGGGAAGAGTGTTCACCAGTGCGCTCCCAGCATGGCCAATTACTCCGCCTAGACGAAGTCTCAGCACGCTGTATTGAATGGGAAGATCATTGCACTTGTTAATAGACTAGGGGCCAGTAAACCATGACTCAAGCAGCTCCCGGCTCACGCGGTTGTCAACTCTTGCGAGAATTTCGGCCTCGTCAAATTTGAATGTGTGGCCGGAACCCGTCGAATGAGCTGCAACATGAGAGCTGGCGTCATTTCGCCGCACCGCTGCAGCGTGTTCGGCCATTCGCGTTCGGAGCTGTCTTCCGGTTTCTCCGACGAAGTTGCTTTGTCCGCAACTGCGCCAGATCCGTTAAACGACTCCAGACGTTTCTTGCCGTGGCAGTGGGTCTTTTGGTTTCATCAACTGACGCCTGATGGTTGCCTCCGGCCTGTGTGCAACTCCAACCCCAAGTGGTGCGAGAAGGCGGCCAACAGCTTCCGAAACGTTCTTGACATATGGAAGTGCTCGCCAAACTTTGGTGTCCGTGCGGTTAAGCATTTCGTCCATTTTGCGTATGCACCGGTTGACAAAGTTGCGTGGGTGGCCATTGGCTTTGAAGACCTGTCGGAGGTATTGTAGTTCGGCAATCTTGCCTTCCGGCTCACTGCAGTGCGTTTCGACACGCCGATAGAGCGTCCTTACACAACTGAGTTTGTGACTGATTGGGTGGTTGCTGTTGAAGTTCAGTACCTGCATCGTATTTGTCGCTTTCCTGAACACTTTGGTCTTTAGTTCACCACAATCCTTGCGACATCCGAGGACATCCAGGAAGGCCAGCTGGTTGTTCTCTTCCTCCTCCATCGTACATTGTATATCCGGGAAGACCGCCTTCAGACGTTCCTTGAATGTCAGCAGTTGATCCCGTTCGATAATGACGAAGGTATCATCCACATACCGGGCCCAGAACTTTGGTTTGTGGAGTTGGAAGACCAGCGACTCTAACCGTTGCAGGACCGCCTCGGCGATGAATCCCGAAATCGGCGAACCCATTAGTGTGCCCTTCACCTGTTCGTAGATTGTCCCGTGGAACATGAATTACAGTTTATTTGGTAAGGATACAAGGAAAAGCCTTTGCAAACCCTACTGATTACATGTCCGCTCGTTAGATACGACTGTACACGAACTATGAAGATATTCGCTATAAAAACAGTACTTGTTCCATTTGAGTAGCATTGTTTCAGGGAAAACATTTCCGGGCTCGCTGTGTATTTAGCTCAGGTTCAGGCTGTCGAGGAAAAAGGGGACACAAATAACCACCGAAGCGTTTCTTGAAGAGTTGCAGGGACGTCACCTCCACGACTGACTGAGGGAGATCGTTCCATTTCTCCACTACCCTTTGCGTGAAAGATTCAGAACGAAGATTCAGCCTGGACACTTTTGTCCGCAGCTTCATCGAGTGACCACGGAGATTGAGTGGAAGGTGTCACTGAAACATGTCCTCAAAGCTAAGTCCATGCTCAAGGCCATGTATTATCCTTTAAACCAGAATATGACCCCCTCTTTCCTACCTATAACACTGAGGGAATAAATTAAGGCAATTCAGTCTTTCTATGTAGGGCTGACTGTTTGAACCGTTCACCAGATTTGTTGTACTATGTTGCAATCTTTCAAGGTCTGTTTGGTCCCTTACAAGCCATGGCCGCCGCGCATGTATACTATATTCTAGATGGGGCGGAGCAAATGTGCCGTAAACTCTTCCAGAAAGGTCTGTGTCAAAAGTTATGAACGCACTTTTGATTGCATGGAGCACTCCCATGGCCTTTTTTGCAGCCTTGTTGCACTGCAGTGCTGGTTTAATGTCGCTCTGTATCTAAGCACAGAGATGCTTCTGCGAAGAGCCTGTGGGAGGTGCACTGGCTTCCTGCTGATGTGCTCTCATGCTGTCATTTGAGTGACAGCTGGTTGGTCGTAGATGAATGATGTCAAACTTCTGCACTTTGAAATCCAGAAGCCATTTCTCCGACTACGCTTGCAGCCGATGCAGATTGTTTTGATGGGCTCTCTGGCCATTTGGACTCTTAATGAGCTGCGAGAGCTAAACGTCATCTACAAACATTATTTTGCCTCAGTCGAGTTCCTGAAGGCTGTCATTGACATAAATAATGAAGAGCAATAGTCCTAGAACTGGGCTTCGAGGCACATCACTAGTCACGTTAACCCAGTCTGACATACGATCTCCGAGACAGACACGTTGTATCCGACCAACGAGAAACACCTTTATCCGGTTCAGAAGATCTCCACGGATGCCGATGGCGAACATTTTGTGAAGAGGACGTTGGTGCGGAACAGAATCGAAAGCTTTGCGGAAACCGATGTACACGACATCGACCTCAAAACCCTCCTCTAAAGCCCTGGTCCAGATTTCCAGACAAACCGGCAGATTTTGGAGGCAGGAACGTCCTCTCGCGAGGTCATGCTGAAAATCCTGCAAGATGTTATTTTCTTTACAAGATTGCTAGATAGCGCTATTTACTAGAGCTTCTATCGTTTAGTGTGAGAGGAAAGTCAAGCTATTAGGCCTGAATCTGCTTGATGCCATCCTGCTACATCCCTTATATAAAAGAACGAGTTTGGCTGATTTCCACTGTGAGGGGAGCCTTCCTACTCTCATTGACAGCTAAAGAGAGGCGGAAGAGGCTTTGACAGCTCCGGTGATAGCTCCTTAATTATCAGCCTAGGAATCTCGTCGGGTCAAGGAGACTTATCTGGTTTTATTTGGCTTAGGACACGTCTTGCTTCTTCGACGGAAGAAGCAACGGTTTCAGTGACGGCGGTATCTTGGCGCATTTGAAAGCCCCGACTGTCTTTGCCCATTTCATACTCCTGAATGTCGTCAGAGGACTCCTCCGTAAAAACCGGCTGAGAAAACTGAGGTAGTAATTGCACTTTCTGTGGCCCATCATCTAATAAGTTTCCTAGGCTATACTTTAGACAGGCAATTTCGTCCCTATGTTTTCTCCTACTGCGGGTGTACTCGTAAAACCTCTTGGGACGTGCTGGATCCTGCTATCCGTCGGCGCTCGAAAGAGGTTCTAGAACCCTGTATTTGTTTTCCGCATTCATTGCGCCGCTCCTTATATTCGGTGAATGTTATTGGATCTCGGAGACGCAACTACCATTTCTACAGCCTCTGTTTCTTCTTCATGGTCTTCTTTTTCATCATTGTGACCCACGGCGATCGCGCACAGGGTCTTGTTATTTCTATTGGACAATGGGAATCAACTTGACCCTCTATAAGCCCGCGAAAGTACCGCCTAAATTATTCCGAATCTTCCATGTCGACTGACCGGGTTTCCTTCAAAGGCGCACGTCTTAATGCGTTAAAATCAGCATTCTAAATATTTCTACGTCTCTTGATTTTTAGTCGTTGGTTCGATAGGAGAGAACACACGAAGGCAAAATCAATATGATCGATTAAACCGAGTGGAGGTTGTGGATTCGCTTGCATTATGACTCCTTTTTCTTTACTGAATACGAGATCTAAACAGTAAGCTCGCTGTCCTTCTCTCTGTCGTGTTCCGAATTTTATGTGTTAAATGATATATTCATCCAGTGAGATTTGTAGCAGCTTGTTTTCAAATGATGCGGACGGGACGTTTGTTAAAGGAAGTTTCCTGTCTATTTCTGGAGCGTTATAGTAACCCAGAATTTGTAGGCACTCCTGCTTACATAAAACTCTAGTACATTAAGTAATTCCATATCGGCGATTTCATTCGAGCTGGGAGACCGTTGGACAACACACAAATTAGATGTTGGTAATTGTTTGATGCATATCATGCATGAATTTATTTCAAAATTTTGCGGCACCCCATTGGACATTTCTTGCTGACAGCACGGAATCTCATTTGACGCATAAATCGCCGTGCCTCCTCCTTTACGTTGAAATCTCCCACAACGGAGCACTTAGAAGCCTTCAATACTGACTTCGCTGCTACTTATTTCCTCAGACATGAATGGCTCTGTTAGGAAAATTATGTGTGGCTTCTGTTCAGAGACGAGCAATATGAATTCATCAAGCTTGTTAAGGTGACATTGAAAATTAGTGTAATGGATTTCTAAACAGCCACGACTGCTGCTCACAGCCTCAAAAGTTGGCACCTTTGCATTGGTGAGGCTATCAGAACGATGGCCTTCGGCCAGAGAAATGTCCTTTTGACCTGAATTATTTGTCCGTTCTTGATTTGTAGGTGTGTTTCGCCGCAGGTCCTTCGCTCCTCCAGCTCTATTGTCAGCTACCTCATAGTAATTCGCTCTTGTGGCTCGTAATCTGCCTGGAAAATCTTCGGGACGCTGACTCCGCAGAGATGTTCAGTATAGTTCAGTTTATTTGAGGGAGATATAGTTTTTGAACCTTTGAACTCCCTATTTGTTACAAGGAAGCGAACTATATCAAAAAGTTGAAATGGAAACATCAAACAGCTGCAGAGTGTCTTCAGAGTGGCAAAGATTTCGAGCCAGACAGATAAACGAATTGTTCCAAGAGTTAAAAACATTAACGTTACTAAGTGTGCTGTACAGTAGTCTGTCTATGGATAATTGGCGCTATCTCAGTTTCTGAGGGAGACGAAACAGATGCTAACACACATTCAACAGACATAGGACAATAATAAAAACAAACATTACTGAAATACAGACAGTAATATAACAACATTAACAAACTGTTCAAAGGAAATGCTAGACGTCGGTCAGGTGACATTACGACGTTTGGTGGCACATTGGTCCAACTTGCGCTTAAAAGCCTCGACGGAGGTGGACATGATGACATCTGTAGGCAGAGCATTCCAGGCCTCGATCACTCTGTTTGAAAAGAAGAACTTCCGAATGTCCAGCTTGGCGCCAGTTACGCGTAGCTTAAGTGGATGACCTCGGAGGTTCGTTGTGATCGCTAAATCAAAGAAATCATTAGGTACGAGACAGCAGTCGTGGTCGCGCAGTATACGGAATGTTTGTATAAGGTCGCCTCTTAGCTGTCTGTAACTCAGTGGAAAAAGTCCGAGATTGGACAATCGTGTTTCATAGGGTAGTGAACCCTGTCCACTTACGAGTTTGGTCGCCCGCCTTTGGACTTTCTCAAGGATGCTGAGATCTTTAGAGGTCCAGGGTATCCACGCCTGAATAGCGAACTCTAGCTGTGGCCGTACGAAAGTCCGAAAGACTTTAACGAAGCAGTCCTCATCGAAGGTAGAGAAAGCTCTCTTGACAAGATAAAGGACTGACATCGCAGACTTGGCTACCTTGGAGCAGTG